CAGTCAGTGCGCTCCGCGCTCCCCGCAACAACGAAATCAGGCGGGGACAGCCTGGGCCGAGTGGGGCCGCGGTCCCGAGCCCGGCTGGGCTGCCCCTCCGTCCTTTGGCCCCGTATCTTCCTGCAGGGTCAAGGAACACTGCTGGGACCTTCCCCGGGTTGAGCCTCAAAGTCGCAGGGGTCTCCGCCGGTGTCTTCGTCTGTGTGGCTGGGTGTGGGTTTGCGTGAGCCCGCGTGGAGTGGATGGCGGGAATGCTTGGGGATGTGTGGTCGTGTGGTGGAGGGGACAGACGTGAGTCCGAGTAACGTGCAAGCTGAGACTAATGAGCGCTCGGTGCATGTGTCCGGGCTAAGCTCGGGTGACGTGTGTGGCCCTATGCGTATGACCAGCTGTGGGGTGCCACCGGGTGCGTCCGTCCCCGTCCTGACGTGCTGTGGGGCGAGGGGGCGGTGAGTGAAGACACTCCCGTGTCCACGGCTTCCCGGCCGGACCCGCGCCTCCCGGAGCCTTGGCGCCAGCCAGCCCGGTTTAGCGGCCGGGCCGGGCTCCCCTGCGGTCCCGGGTCTGGCCGGGGTGGGGGCCGCGGCCTCGGTGACCCCAGCCCGCAGCGGCCTGGCCTGTCCCGTCCACTTAAACAAATTGCGGCTGACAGGCGCGCAGTCTCTCTGGAGCTGCCGCCCGCCCGTCGCCTCCTTCCCGCCCCAATTACCCCGAGCAGGGTCGGGCCAACCGGCTGAGACGGGGCGGGGGGCGCTGGCAGAGCGGGCGGCCCGGCCCCCTCCTGGTCGCGGTGTGGACCCGGACTTGTTCCAGGACAGGGGACCGGGCCACTTCCTGCAGTTAGGCCCCTGGAAGTGCCCCCGCAGCCACGGCCTGTGTGGCCCCGTCCCTCGTCTTCAGCCTGGCTGCTATGGGTAGGGACAGAGCTGGCCCTCGAGGAGGGTCGCTCTGCACCTGAGGGTGAGATCACGCAGTCGGGAACGGAGGCCGCGTCCCTGCAGGACTCTGGGCGACTTCCCAGAGTTTTGGGGATCCTGTAACTCTGGGAGCTCCAAGCTACTCACTGCTCTGGGGCCAGCCCTTCTGAGGGTCACAGCTACCCGCTTGGGACACGGGGGTCGGCAAAAGTGAGTGCGCGTCCGGGTAGATGCGTGTGCTTGGACGTGCACGGCTGTGAGATTGTGGGTGTGGGGTGTGGGGTCGCGGAGCGTGGGCAGGCACTCTGCTGAGTGGCTTGAGAGGGGGATAAAGCGCAGGAAGGACCCCTAGGGACAGGCCCACCTGCGACAGAGGGGCGGGGCTGGCCCGAGCGCCTCTCCAGGCTCTTGTTTGCTTTCAGAAACGCTTTCGCAGGGAGCGGGCCGGGGTTTCCCGGAGCAGTTTGGCGGGCTCCGGGCTCCGGGCTCCGGCTGGTTCCTCAGCCTTCCCAGGCCCCCGCCTGGCCTGTCAGCCTCCGCGCCTCGAACCACTCTTTGCCTTTCCTGCCTGCTTCAGCTGTTGCTCCTCTGGGCAGGGCATGTTCCTCTCCCCCCACCACCCCCCTCCTTTACAGATGAGGACCCAGAGGTGCAGTAATTTACCCACTGCCACAAGGCTACTGCCGGCAGTGCTGGGATGAGACCCTGGGACCTTAAAAGAGAGCAAGCCCAAACCCACTCTTTAGAAGGTGGGGATGCCATTGCTGTCAAGCTCCTATCCGGCATACACAGCAAGACAGTACTGGGACTCCAGGCTGCCCACCTCCAGCTCCACTCCTGGTTTGAATACAAGATACACAGAACACTCTCTCCCTTAGCCCCTAGGGCTTCCAGTTCTCGGTCTGCAGGAGGGGGCTGCCTTCCCACTTACACAGGGACCAGCCAGAAGCTTCAAAGTCAGTCAGGGGCTCAGGCTGGAAGTTTGAAGGGGTAGAGCATGGGGTTTCATAGGAGCAGAGTCCTGGATTGGGTGGGGGCACAGGACAGGGAGGTCAGCTCAGGTTCGGGCCCCTCTAAGGGAACTGGCCAGGGCACGCAAAGCAGCAAGGTGCAGACAGTGGTCAGGGTCAGCTGACCAGCTGTGTGATTCAGGACCTTGGGCAAGACCCTGCCCTTCTCTGGGGTCAGTCTTGTCATCTGCAAAATGAGGACTGAACAGTGCTCTTAGGGGCCCTCTAGAGAGTCTCTGATCTGTGAAAATAAAAAATTAGAACCAAAAAACCACCTCCAATTCCCGACTGGTGGCTACCTGGCCTGGCTTTTGCTTGTTTTCAGAGGAGCTGGCCCTAGTGTTTTTGCTTATGTGCCTGAATTTGCCTTGGGACCACTGGGCCTTTCCTCAAATCAATCCCAGACAGTGCCCCCCGCCCCTGTCAGCCCAGCTCCCATCAGCCTCTTTCCAGATCATGAAGATTTTTTTCCTCCATCAAATTAAGAGGGAGTTCATAGTTATTTGCCCATTGAGCAGGTAGTGCTGTGAGAATCAGGGAGGTCACGTGGCTTCCTTAAGGTCACCGGGTCTGGCCACAATTAGATTCATGTTCTGATGACCTCCTAGGTGATGCCATCATGAGGTCTGCTGAGGCTGCTGGGGCTGCTGGGGTGAGGAAGACATTGCCCTGGATGTTATCTGTAGAGGGTAGGCGGCTGGCTGCTCCACGGCCAGTAGGCAGTCAGGTCCCCCATCCTGGGGCCTAGCTCTCACTTCCAGCTGATTACAAGCTATGGCAGGGTCCGTAACCTCCCCAATTAGCAGGGGGCCAGGCCCAAGGCCTTTCTGATAACCTGAGCTCCAGTGGCAGCCGCCATGGGGCCAGCTTATCTGGCCTCTCTTATCCTCACCCTTCCCCCACGTACTCAAAGAGTTGCCCTGACTGCGAGCAGATGAATAACCAGATTGTCCTGCAAGCTCAGCCGGCAAGTCCAGCCCTACACCCACCACTTTCCCTGACTGGAGGAGGCCACAGCTGTTTTGCCCCCGCTGGAGGGGAAGGGCTGGGCTAGGGAGGACTCCTGACTTTAAGCTGCCAGCCAGTTCCTGCATGGCTGACAGCACTTCTGGCAGCAAGGTCTTTGCCCCATCCACGTGTCCTAGGGTGGGTTCAGAGGGGCTCATGCTCTGGACCCATCCCTAGGGAGCCAGGCCATGGGCAGCATGCATAGGCAGCCTGGTGGCACCTTCTCCCTGTCCCCTTTTGACTGAAACACTGCTCTAGGTGGGAGGTGGGTGTGGTGCCAGGCACATTGTCTGCAATTCAGCTGAAATGCCGAAAAGCAGCTACTCTTCCAGCAGCCCCCACTGACTGTGCCCAGGTCTCCTTATGTTCCCAGCATGCCTCGCTCTGGCATGTGACTTCTCACCTCACAGGTGACAGGCAGGAGGCACTGGCTTAGGCCACCCTGTGTAGGATCATCTCAGCCCACAGAGCCTAGTGATTCAGGTCTCCCTTTTCCCAAAATGCCCAACTGATCCGGTGGAAGGAACCGAAGATAAGTCTCTTCTCAGGAGCCAGGGATGAGATGGGGTGTGTGTGAAGGGGGCAGGGGCTCCTGGAATTGCCCCCACTCCAGCTAGACGGTTGGATGGGAAGGTCTGCTTGTCTGAAGTCAACTCTTCCACGGCTGTTCCATTAAACTTCACACCAAACGACACCTGGCTCAGTGTGGGTTTCCTTCAATCCTCCAAGGCCTCCCTGGGGTCTCCAGGAAGTGTGGCCCAGGAGTGGGGGAACTAAGACTAGAGTTAGTCTCCTTCCTAGTCAACACACCTTTTGGCTCCCCCTGCTCCTGTCTCCTTGTTGCCAGTCACTTTAGGTCCACAATTGGGAGGAGGGAGGAAACAAAATCAGGACCTTGTCATCTGAGGTTCCAGCCAGGTTTCATGAAATACCCACCTTCACTTGACTACCCTTCTACCTTCTGAGTTTGAAAAGAGACGCAATTCCAAGGTGCCCCAAAGAAAAGGCCAAAGGCATTGTCAAGCTCTCTTCACCACAGTAACCCACCAGCACATACCAAGGGCCTGACTGGCCTTTACTGCCAAAGCCGGGGAGGGTCAGAGCCTAGGCCCTCCCCCCTGCCAACTCCCCTCTCCCCCAACTCACTGCCTTTGGTAACAGGCAAGAAGCTTGGAGAATGAACTTAAATCAGGCCCCACCCAAATTCCAGAGCCAAAATACTCCTTCCCATTCCTACTCCCCACTGACTCCCCACCCTCAGTTGCACGTGTGTGTGTGTGGGGGGGGGGGGGTTGGGAGCCGGGCCACATGGTCTGGCCCACAGGACTCTGTTCAGCATTTGGAGAGACCCTGACCTAAGCAACTCAGGAATGGACACCAATTGCAGAGAGATTTATTGGACAAGACGTGCACTTTTCAACAGGGCCTCAGTAACCTTCTCTGAACAGTACAGGACCAGGGTAAAAGGGCTTGAAGATAAGAAAAATGAATTCTTCCCAGGACCCAATGGGGAAAGAAAGGAGGAAGGGGAGGATTCTCCTTCCTTAATACTCTGGGCCTTAGTTCACCCCATGCTGGAGAGGGGCTGACCAGGGGAAGCTGGAGGCAGTGTGTGTCACAGCCAGAAGTGGCCTGGGGCTGAGACAGTCCATTCAGGGTCAAAAATGCCCAGGTGGACAACCCACCCTCTCCCCACCAGGCCCCAAGATCTGGTCACTGTTCCAGGCCACCTGTGGGTATGGGTAAAAATATAAAAGCAGATCCAATGCAGGACGCCATGTGCAAACTTAGAAGGGGACTGAACTTCTGCAGTCTCTCTTGGCCACAGCCATGGCTGACAGGTGTGGCAGAGGTCAAGGTGTGCCAAGGTGCTTTGGAGAAGGGTCTCTTCTCTTCTTGATCCAGGTGAGATGGGTGGCTGCTATCTTTAAGGGGAAGGTGGTTGATGAAAGAGGAGCAGAGACTGGAGGGTAGGACCAGAGCGGGGCTTCTCCCTCTCCCTCCAGCAGGTGAGTGGGCTGGCCAGTCAGAAGCAGGTTGCTGGTACCTATGGGAAGCCAGTAGGGAAGAGGCTGAGGGGCTGACTCTCATTGGTGGGGAGCGGAGATCGGTAGCCATCAAAGTTTCTTGGGATGCTGCCGCTGGTGGAGCCTGAGCTATTACTCAGAGTCTCGATGCTTCCCTCTCGCTGAAGTTCTGCAAGACAGAGGAGAGGGCCAGGCCTGATCAGAGTGGGGTCAGGGGATTGGGGGTACACACTGGGCCAGGTTGCCTGCCTTGAGGCACCATTCTGGGTCCTCTTACATCCTTCTTCAAGGGTATATCCACTTGCTCCCCAGATGGGCAGGCAACAGCTCAGGTCACAGGAAGGCTCAGCCCGGAGGAGAAGCCCCCTTGGTGGGCAGACTCCAGTTTTAGACCACAATCTTTCCCTCATTGCCAGGAAGCCCTTGAGGCGAGAAGTGTGGCCACCCTGATGATCTGTCTGGACGACACTGCTGTCCATGGGGCGTGTGCCTGCGCCTGCACACATACTCACGCTCAGCCGGCACACCCCTGAACTCCATAGTGTCTCCTGTCCTGGATCCACAGGTGAGGCAGGTGGGGAGAAGCCAGGACACGGACCGCAGCTTCCCTGCCCAATCTGTCCCAGCCTCTTTCCTGCCCTGCCTGTCCCTGGGGCTTCCACCGGCTTAGCCACTCACTCGCTTGCTCGTTCTCACCCACACAGTCCGCCTGCTGGCCAGACCCAGGCTCATCTCCGGCCCGCAGTGTCCTGTTTCCCTGCAGGAGGGAATGCTTGATTTGAGGGGAGCCTATTCCAATGAAGAGAGGGTCTCTGCTTGCCTGGAATGCCTCCTTCCTCTTAGCTCCCAAGTCCCCTGGAGGCCCCTTAGAATGTGTGTGCTCAGAGTTCGCAGTGTCCTGTTTCCCTGCAGGAGGGAATGCTTGATTTGAGGGGAGCCTATTCCAATGAAGAGAGGGTCTCTGCTTGCCTGGAACGCCTCCTTCCTCTTAGCTCCCAAGTCCCCTGGAGGCCCCTTAGAATGTGTGTGCTCAGAGTTGACCTGTAAAGCAGGCAGGGAGCTCCTGCCCACTCTTCCTCCATTTCCCTGGCCTTGCACATCCATGCTGCTGTCTTGGACATGGCAACTTGACTGGACTCATTCAGCTATGGGCACTTTATGGGCACCTTAACTGCCCCATCATCTCTTGACCCGACAGGTACTGGGGTCGGTGGGTTGGGAATAGAATTCCCTGTTTACTGATTGCAAGGAAGAAGGAATCATTTCTTGGCTTTTTGAAGATGACCAATTCTTATTCCCTTTCAGTCCCATGTAGTGGGTTCTGAGATGTGGGCACACATATGCCTGAGCAGTCTCTGGAGTCTGCCTCAAGCCCAGATGTGGTGACCTGCAACCTATCCTTCTCCAAGGTATGCCTGCCTGTGACTGAGGGGGCCTTGGTTGCCCACCTCAGGAATGCAGGGCCTCCCTTGAAGCAGTCATATGAAACAGCAAAGTGTGCTCAAAATTACACTTATCTAGTCTGGCTTGAGACTTTTTTCTCCAGCCTGTACCCACTCCCAGGCCCCCTGCTACCATACACACGCAGCACAGCTGGCTTTGGTTAGGGAATGAATGGGTCACGGCCTTCACTCTTGAGCTGGCCATCACCAGCCAGCCAGGAACTAACCACCAAACCCCTGCTCCCTGCAGGCCACCCCCAAAGCATTGAGGCTGCCCAGGAGCAGTAACTACGGAATGGAGGAAGGAAAAGGAATGCACCTGGACTCAGGTGTGAGGGGCCCTCAAGTGGCACCAGCCATGTTTGGGGCCTGGGCCCAAGCTGGGTGGGTGCACGGGGACACCAGAACCTCTCAGGAGACTGGGGGCAATGGAAGGAGGGGGGCCGAGGGCCTGGCTATGGTCCTGATCTCCGAGAGACACTGGATGCCTTGGTGGGCCTCGACTCTGGGAAACTCAAGAGTTATCTGGATAAGGACAGAAAACAAGGCAGGCGGGTGATGGGTGGGATCTCTTCTTTCCTCATTCTTCAGTATCACCCTAATTTGGGGGTAACAGGCCATTGTGACACCAGAGGGAGAGGAGAGGAAAGCAAAGAGAAGACCCCGGGAATTCTATATGGAAGCTTTGGACTCCAGGAGAGCTCCCTCCTTTCCCTTCTTTCCCCACAAGCAAGCCGAGGAGTCCACGGGGGATCTCTGAGGCCCCATTCGGTTTCAGAGGCCCTTGCATGGCTGTCCCGGCACTAGGGGGCGCTGACAGCAGGGCGAGGAGGGCAGGAGAGGAGCACTGGCAGTTGCAAGAAAAGCAGAGGCTTCCTTAGGATCTGGACTCCAGGCCCGAGGACGAAAGCCCCAGATGAAGGAGCAGGAAAGGATGGGGAAGGTTGGCCCCTTTCCAGAGTTGAGGGACAGCCCAGAAGTCTTGATGTAAAATGCCAACAGGTCCATGCTGCCAAGGAAACCAAGAGCCCGGGACCAAGCGAGGCAACCCCACCACCCCTTGGCGCAGGCTCCCTGCACCCCCAGCAGTCTCAGTGACCCCAACACATGAGTCTGAGTGAACGCACCCCATCCCATGCTGTGACAGTGCAGAGACAGTTGCCAAGGGGTTTTATAAGATGAATTTGCTCCTCTTGGGGCCAGGTACAGCCTCGGCAAGCTTGCTCTTATTTCTCTTCGCCATTTAGGCCTGGGTAAGATGGAAGTGGGCAGGCTTCTCCCTCGCCCCCACATCCCAGGATAACCACGGCTCTGCTGAATTTATCTCCCGGACATCTGTCTCCCCACTGTTAGGCCTTCACTGCCTACCTGGGTCTCGGGACTGCCAGGCCACCCCTCTGATTCACCCCCCACACCAAAGCTGTGGCAGTCTGTCTACAGAACAACCTCATCTTGCTTTTCTTCTGCTTAAAAACCTCCAATGAGTCTTAATAGTTCAAGGGATAAGGTCTAACCTCCCCAGCACTACATAATAGCCTTCCAGGCTCCACCTCACTAGTGTTACTTGTTATTACATCTGAGGAAGCCAAGTAATGAACCTGAGCAGTTTTTTGACCTCTCCAGGCTGCTTTAGGCCTCTGTGCCTGTGCTCATGCAACTTTCTCTGACTGAAAAGCCTTTCCCAGGCTCCCTGGGCCCTAAACGCCTACTCATCTCCCACAATTTAGCATCAGTGTCCACGCCTCTGTGAGCCCGTCCTGTTCCCCGGCAGGGCTGGCCAGCCCCAGCGCGCTGTGCTGACTCCTAGCCCAGGCCCTCTCATGCTCACAAGTGTGTCTCCCCAACCAGGTGGAGAACCCCTCAGAGTTTCGCTCTGTGTCTTATCCCTGTACCCCTAGTGGCAATCACAGGGCCTGGAAAATAGTTGGTGCTCGAAAAACATTTCTTGAATGAATAATGGATGACAGTGGTAAGGGCAGGTGGGGCTCACTCTCTAGCATGGACAAACAGTAAAAAGCCAGGGGGCCTGGGACAGTCTCTCCCTTCTGTCACAGCCCTTTCCTCTGCTTCCCATTGAAGACAGAGAGCAAGTATGTAGGGAGGTGGAGAAGGGGTGCACACAGGTTCCCCCCTTCAAGTCCGCCCGGCCACCCAGCCCTAGCAGCAAGTGGCAAATGGAAGCACGCGGCCTTACCTTCCTCCGTCCCGAACGCATGCTTTGTTACTGTTGGGTTGCTCACGGGCGCTGGGCTGTTGGCATTGTTTTTTTTTTCCTTTTTTTTTCCCTTTTGAAAAGAAAAGCATTGAGGAATCTTTTGGAAAAGATATGGAAAAGATTGAGAAGTACACTGATCTCTGCAGGCAGGTGGACAGGGTGTAAGGAGACAGGGGTGTCACACTGGGAGGAGGGTAAGCTTGCAGCGGAATTCTGCAGTCAAGAAGGACAGTGACATGCATGTGTGGGAGCTAGGGACCGGCCAGTATTGGAGGTCCCAGAGATGGCACTGTTGTGACAGAGTCAAGACCCTCTTCAGCACGGGGCTAGGAGAAGAGAGGTGACATGCTGAGCACGAGGAATGGCTTTGGGAGGGAGACAGATGGGGACCTATGGCCCATGCAGTGCCAGATGGGGTCCCATGCAGGTGGGTTGCCGGGAGTGGAAGGAGAGGGAGACAGGCTACACAGTTTTCAGGGACCCCTCCAGACTTTTTGACTCAGTGGCCCAGTTTCTGGCTGCCACCCTCCTCCCTGACTCCCAAGATCCCCAGGTCTGGGCCACATCTCATCAGGTCTGAGATGGCCTTGTGGGGAAAGTCCAGCAGAAGCCAGCCAGGGCCCAGGAGAGAGCGCTGGGGGCTCTGTGGTGGGGAAAGAGGGAAGCATCTCCAGTGGCCTCCCTGCTTAGAGGCAGGTAGATTCTGGTCAGTGGGAAAAAGCTCTCAAAGAGTTCGTTCTTCAGGCCCCAAAGTAGGGTAGGAGATGAGGGGCTCCTAAGAAGGCAGCTGGACTCAGACATAAGCTCATTTTTTTGTGATCTCACATTCTCCAGGGATTTGGAGGCTGTTAGGTGGGTGCTATAATCCCCATCTTGCAGATAGCAAAACCCAGGAAGAGGGAGAAGCCAACCATCCTGGGTCACGCACCACCCGAGAGAGATGGTGTTGGCCAATGTGGCATAGGACACTGACAGCTCCAGGCATCAATCACTAAGACTTGCCCCCTGTGCCCACCACTGGCCGTGTGCACCCATTCCCTGTTGGCTCTTATTGGAAAATGAACCTGCTACCCACAGCCACCCCTCTATGCCATGGGCCAGAATGGGCAGGCCCCAGGGGGGAGGAGGACAAAGGAATGAACCGCAGCTTAAAGGGAGGACTCGGCTCCCACAAGTAAGTGAAGAGCAAGTGAAGGCCTGAGCCTCGTGCTGCCCCCACTCCACGTGGAGCTTGTCAGATGTCAAAAAGGTGTCAGAAGGAGCAGAGAGGTGGCTGACCTTGTTAGGGCGAGGCGACACTGGTGGCTTGGGAGTGTATGCCAAGGGAGCCACAGGGAGGGGTCGTTCTCAGTCTGCATGAGGAGCAGGGGCAGGGCTGCCCACAACTTGCCCTGCTCCCGAGCTGGGCCAGGCAGAACGAGCCCCTGCCCTCATCCCAGGCGGGTACTGCAGCCCCTCCACCCTGCGTGAGCAGCAGACTGGCTGCTGGGAGCTGTGGGGAGGAGCGGATCAGCAGAGTATTCCCTAGGGAGAGGATGAAATGCTGAGGACACAGGGCCTAAGTGAGGCTTGGGGAAAGCTGGGGAAGCCCTAGCAAGTGGGAGGCCCCGGCAGAGGGTCATAAGGTCTATGTGGAGCTTGCTGTTCTCTGGGTCTCTTCCCGGCTTGATGGCAGTGGGTACAGCTGGCCAATCACAGATCCTGAGGAAGCTCCTCCGGCTCCTGGTACATAGAGGCATCGTGGACAGCCCAATTCTCAGGGACCCAAAGGAAGGTCTGTTTCTGGGACCCTAAAGGGGTCAGGGAGGGCAGTGCTGTGTGTGAGCATGTTTGGGAAAAGTGTGCCTGGGACCCCTGGTTTAGCCTCCAGGCAGCCCTGCCACTTCTGCCACCAGAAAAGGAGCAGCCTCTACTGCCCAGCCCCTCTGGTTTCCTCAAAGCCTCCAGCCAGCCTTGCTCTGTGTGTGAGCCCTGGTGCAGTCATACACCCCAGTCCCAAGCTAAACACCCATGCTGCCTGCTAGGATTAGACCCCAGGGTCCAGTCGGACCCTGCACCCACAGCTCTGCCCACTTCCAGCAGTGAGAGGGTGACTGCTTCCCGCAGCCTCAGAGAGCCCCATAAGGCCGGAGGGGCTGCGGCTGCCCAGATGGGTGGAGGCGGTTCAGGGAAGTGTTAAGAACACAGGCTCTGGTCACCTGCTACCTGGAAGACTTTGGGCAAGTTAATGTCTGTGCCTCAGGTTCCTCTCATTGTGAGGATAACAAGGTCTGTTTCATAGCCTGGCAGTAAGAACAAAATTAAACAATGCAGGTATGGGCATCACAAAACTGTCAGTTAACTACTGTTGTTGCCATCAAATTAGTCATTGTGATCATCCATAGGACTGCAGGGTCCCTCTCCAGCCTTCCTCCCCAGCAGGTGTCTCTGCCACCCAGACCCCCACCCACTTGGTCTCCACTGGAGCTTGGGAAGGATTCTTTCTTTTTAATCAAGAAATGGCCCAGGGAGGAGGATGGCAGATATGTGTTTACAGCTTTTCATTACCCTCCTTGCCTCTTTGCAAATACCCTCTTCCAAGATGGAAAATAAATTTCCTACCCTGTTGACGTGCATTGATTTTTCCCTCCTGCATCCACCTCCAGGTTCTCCCACATTAGCAGGGGCTGTGGTTGAGACCCTTGCCTGGGCTGGGCTCAGTGGTGGCCCAGGGGAGTGGATGGCCACACAGCACACAGCAGCCAGCCAAATTGCTCAGTGCCTGGCTCAGAGGAGGTTTGCAACTAACAGAAACAGCTTCAGTCTCCTTCTGTTTGGGGGTCCTTGGGTGGGGAGTGAGGTGTGTGTGAGCGTGGGTCTTCCCATGAAGAGGTTGGGATTTTCGGCGTCTTCCCTTGATGGGATATATGGGGAGGAGACCAGGGTAGCACAGGATGGCTACAAGTTTAGCAAATTGATCCAAAGAGGGTCTGCCCCAAGCAACCGCCTGGGATCAGCTGTGCAAAACAGGGCTTGGAGGGAGAGAGGTAAGGGGTGGGGGGGCTTGAGCATATCTTGTGGCGCTAAGCAGGGTTGGCAACTTCCTGGTGCTGGAACCTAGAGGGATGGCCCAGATGCCAACTAGGAGGTGGCCCTGGCAGACATGACTAGGGGCTGCTTGTTTTAAACCGGTCCTGGGCCTGGATACTGCTCTCCCTTCCACAGTGTGGCTGAGGAGGCGGAGGCCTGTTCAGTGATACATAGATGGAGTTGGCCAAAATTGCCTTGAAAACCCTGACAGCCCTGTCAGAGACCACACTGTGGGCTGCAACCAGCCTCAGCCCCCAGGGCACTTCTTAGGAGGCTACAAGCGCAGCAGTTAAAGGCAGCTGCCTGCGGAGGGAGGCCTCCCTTCTCTCCACACTCAGCGTGCCCACCTCCCCACCTCCCAGGCTGCCTGGCTCCCCCACACCTTCCCTCTTCCTGCCTCTCTCCAGGCTTCACCCTGAAGTGCTGGGCTCCTCACCCCTCAGATACCTCCCTCAGGCTTCAGAGCTTGCAGAGATGCCAAGAGACCAGGGGTCCTCTTCGCCCAACAGCAGTGAGGTATTGGGAGGGTGGGGGCTGGGGTTGGGGAGGCTGAGAAGGGAGTCACCTCTCTCCTCCAGCAGGGGCTTTTGTTCCCTTCTGAGGCTTGCCTGAGGAAGGGAGGGGGCAGCTTCTCAAAGCTGAGGGGCGGAGGATGAAGAGGAAAAGGCTCCTCCACGTTCCGATAATGGGAATCGTGGTGTGGGCTGCTGGAACCAGGGAGCAGGTGAGAAGCAAGGCTGACTCTGGCCTGTGGTTATCTCTGGGGCTTAACTGTGTTTGAGCACAGACTCTTGGCCGACCAATGCCACTTATTTCTGGTGTCCTGCCACATAAACAACGTGGCAGTCCTGAGGGCTCCTGCCATCAGCCTAGTGCTGGGCCGGGGGGCAGGCATCGTCTCCTTCCTGGCTGGAGTCTCTCTCAGCTGGCAGGACTCCCATGGATACGCGTGCTTTCCCCCTTGCCCAGCTTTTGTTCCTGACCCCCACAGGTCCTGAGACCCAGAACATCATCAAAGACTGAGGTGAAGGCCACATGGCCTACCCTGCCGCCCCTGCCTCCACGCTCAGCGCCAAACACCGAAGGTAAATCTCTGGTGCTCTTGGCTCAGGATGCCTGGAACTGCTTCCCTTTGCCACTGGGGCCGTGCAGGTGCCTCAATAGGGTTTGGGGCAGACCTGAGGCCTAGGATGCTCCTGAGCACCCACAGCCCCTAGAGGGTGAAGGTCTTGAGCGATGGCTGGAGAAACTGTGAGACGGGCAAGCAAAAGGCCCTCTGTGTGCCTCAGCTTCCACCCAGAAAAACTGGGAAAAAGGCATATCGTCTTTCCTCACCATCTCCCTTTCCCTCCAGTAGCCAAAGAGGAAAGGTTCTCAGCCTCTGGAGGTCCTGTTCATGGCAGCATGCCAGTGCGGCATTAACACCATGAGGTAGGGGCCTAGAGGTATGGTAGATTCCCATGTCCCGGGTGGGCTCAGTAGGGACAGGGGCATGATGACAGGAGATGAGCATGTTGGAATGTTGGAGATGGAAGAATAAAAGTAGAAAAGAGGCTGGGGAGAAGGCCTGAGAAGTGAGGAGGACTCAGGAGGGAGGACCTCTCTCAGAGCCCTGCCCATGTTCACTGAGCCTGTAGCATGTTGGAATGTTGGAGATGGAAGAATAAAAGTAGAAAAGAGGCTGGGGAGAAGGCCTGAGGAGTGAGGAGGACTCAGGAGGGAGGACCTCTCTCAGAGCCCTGCCCATGTTCACTGAGCCTGTCCCTTATGGCACCCACCCCCTCTCCGCTGGAGCTAGAGTCGACTCTGGGTGTGTGTGTCTGTGTGTGTGTGTAGGGCAGAGGGGGAGGGAAAGGCACTGGCATTTCAGGCACAGCTGCTCACAGCCCAGCCCCAGATTCTTCTTTGCAGCCTTTGAACCGCTGAAGAGCAATGACACCCCTGGTAGGGTCTGAGCCAGAGGGGACACAGGCCTGGTTGGGGGCCAAAGCCTTATCCTAGGTCCCTCCCACAATAGCCATGATGCTGTTCCAGACCCAGGCAGACCCAGAAAGCTGCTACACCCCACTCCCAGGAAACCCGCATTACCCCGGCCTCCCCAGGTCTTGGCTTCAAAGGAGAACAGAGCAGGATCACCCACCCAGACCACCTCGAATGGTACCCCATGTCCAGTGACCCCATCAGTGCCCACGGTATTAGTACACCTTTAAGTCCAAGGTACCAAAGCAGAGTATATCCTGTCACAACATACTATATGTGGGGACATAAAAGGCTGAGCTGACCTGGCTCACGTTCCCCAGTTTTGAGGTATTTGATGACTCTGGCTGAAGCCATGCTTCAGATGAGCCAGATGCGGGAGGAGCCCTGACCTGTGGCTCCCTGTGGGTGGCCAGAGGAGGAGGACTGTGGGAGGAGCAGAGACTTTGCTCTGGCCCCAGTTCTGTCACAGGCAGAATGACCTGGGCAAGTCACTTCACTTCTCATCTGCTTTGGCATCTGTAGAACAGGAGGGGAGGGTCTGTTCTAATGACCTCACTGGGTGTGTAAGGCTCTAACGAGAAGAGGGCGCGAAGGGGCTTTAAGAAGCAGCCCATGAACGGAGCGTGTACAAGAGACCGCGGGTGAGAGAACAAGCTTTGCCACCCCTGGTGTCTTCAGCAGGCCTCACCCAGGAGAGGGGCTGAAGTGCCCTTTCTAGCTCCATGTCCTCCGCACAACACTAGGAGCAGAGCCTCGGCAGATGCTATTTAAGGTCAGCTCAGAGCTGAGAGGAATGGCAGACGTGTCTTTGGTGTGCAGAACACCAGGCCAGGTGCTGCTATGTGACTTCTTTCTGTGTGCGTGCTAACGGGGGCCAGGAGGAGTCTCAGGCTCTGGCAAACACGACCACTCTGCATGGCTGTGAAGAGGAGACAGGGCTGGGAAACTCCCCTGGAACCAGGTGCCTGGCAGCTGGCCTTGACCTGCCTGTCTCCTGAAGTCCAGCCAAGAAGCTTGGAAGACCCAACCCCAGCTCCCGGGCAGGGGTCTTCCTGAGCTACCCTCCAGCGCTACGAGATAGCACAGGGGCCTGCAGACCGCAGGAGAGATGCTGTTCTTTGAACACTGCTGGCCCACCAGGCCAGAGCCACATCTGGTTCTCATTCAAATGTCCAAACGTAATTAAATTCTCTACGACGCAGCGGAAGAGTTTGGTAAGATGTGGCTTTCCCCCTTTTCCATCAAGGTTAAGAAATCACAGTCTGTCATTCCACCAGCAGACCTGCTTCCTCCCTGCCACCGATCTTTCTTGTTCAGCAAAGGCAAAGGCCTGTGCTCCTATCTGTTTTCTAGAGCTTATGGGGCTGGGGACAGTGGGTTATATGCAGATCCCCCCTGCCCCCCACTGTTCCATTTACCCACCTGAGAGGATTAACAGCTGAGATCAAAGCTGCAGGCTTGCAGCTAAGCAAATCGGTGCACAGGGGGTTGGTTGGGGCTGAGGGCGGGGAGGTTAGTGCCCCCACCCTTGAAAGGGTCTCCCTCAGCCCTGGGGAGACAACCACTATGCTCAGGCTCATCTCAGTGACACACCAGTGTCCTTCCAGTGCTGAGATATGGGCATGCCTTGTAATACCTGGCCAAGAAAATCCCTTTTTTATTTTTACTTTTCTTATCTTCTTGGGAATCCCTTCTTTATAGCTCCTCACAATAGGTAGCTCTTGAGAGGTATGATTCTGGAGTCTTTGCAACAAGGAACCCTTGTGCCCTGGCCTGGCCCTACAGCCCAGGGCAGGGGGAACCAATTCCCCCACACTCCACACCTCTTACCTTGTGGCCCTGGGACTGCTGCAAGGAGGTGCCTCTCCTCCTGCCCACCTCCTGCCCCCCTGCTCGCAAACAGATAAAGCTGAGTGGTATCTGAGCCCTCTCAAGAAACCCTAGGATCTCCTTGTCTCACAGGATTGCTTGTCACTTCTGGCCTGTAAGGACTCTGAATGGCTTAAGGGACAGAAGGGTCCAAGGTATAGTCCTCTGTGAGAGGGAGGGTGTTTGGCTCATCAGAAAGGAACCCCACCGACCCCAGGCTTCAGTGCCTCTCCTCCTCGGCCCCTGCTCAGGACTCCCCCGTATTCAGGCAGAACGTTCCCTAGATGGGACAATTTTTCCAGCTTCCCTTCCCACCTGAGTATCTTCAGTTTATGGTTTCTTTTCACTTCGGGATTTATGACTTTCACGATAGTGGGTTCCATTCTACTTCCACTATAACTATTTTTCTGATCACTGTCGAATAGGCTTTATGAGAGTTTTTTAATAATTGGGGGTATTTTTCCTTTTGAAACAAACTGTCCTGTAAGTTAATGACTTATTGTGGGTGTAGATGTTACCCACAGACAAATGAGCGTTGGGGAGGGGATGACCAGGGTAGCGGTAAGGGGGAAACTTCTACATTAAATAGAGCTGTGCTGAGGTTTTTTAAAGACTCTTGGCCAGCTCCCCGGTTAGAGTCCCTCATGCTGCTTGCTCACAATCATCCCTACCAGAGAACTGGAACCACGTTCAGTCACACATGGCTTCTGTGTACCAAAGAATGCTTGTCCCGGAGAGAGGCACACACACAAGTTGATGTGAACCAATCAATCCCAATATCACTGACCTGGCTCTAAAGAGGAATAGTTTTTTGTATTTGTTTCCAAATGGTAAACCTGAGCTCCACAATGGATTTAATTTAATTCCTTGGTGGCATTTAGTGTCAGGCCCACGTGTCTGGGAACCTTTACATTAGTGAGTAAGGTTTTAAAGAAACATCCAGTTCTTGGCCCAGTTGTTGTAGGCCAAGCCTAGCAAAAGAAATGGCATTGGGGCTAAGTCTCTGTTGCCTGCTTTGGGGTCGCAGCCTGTGCTCTGGAGCCCTCAAGCTGTGGCTGGAAGAGAATCACAGTCTCAATCAGCCACTGTGGTGCCGCCTGTCCAGATGAGAAGGGCTGGGCCGATGCAGGTTTGCCTTTGTGCTGCGTTCACAGGCTGGCTGCTGGTGCCGGGGCTCTATTCATTATTCAATTCAGCCAGCTCAGACGAGCCTTTCCATTTGCTCCTCCAGGAGGAATAACAAATCTAGAAATGCAATTCCACTTTGGTGTATTAAGATATTGATTTGCCTGTCAGTGGAAGTGCATTTGTTCTGTTAGCCCTCCCATGGGTAGGAAGGGGTTAACCAAATGTTTATCACAAGGCTGGCTTCAGAGTTGAAAGTAATGTGATCAGTAATGAATTTTGTGTTACATTAGGTTGTATAAATGGACAGACAAGCGCAGACAACAAGTGGCCAGGAGTCGGGGCTAATCTAATGATGTAAAAATAGAGACAGCACCAATTATACTAGGGGCCAGCTCCAGGCTCCTGCAGGGACTGCAAATGAATAGGTACAAATCAAATTACTCACTAATAGACGCACTACAAGAGGGGCAGTCAATGGTAAATGCATTAGAGCCTAGTGACCTCTCTGCTCTGCACAGCAGAGTCCGAAAATTTGACTTCCATCTTCAAAGTGGGGGGCAGGGAGTGGCGTGCTCAAAGAAACTCTGGTTGGGTGAAGGGCATCAACTACTCCCCATCCCAAACCAGCCCCTTCCGAAGGCACCTCCTGTCTGAGCTGACCTCTTGCCCTCATTTCAGGGCCTCCTGAAGCCTGAGCACCAAGGGGTAGGCGGGCACCCTCTTGAGGGACGAAAAGAGCAGCAGGATAAAGCCTTCCATGTAGGCGAAGACAGGAAGTTACATACCAAAACACTTCACAGCCACGTGTCTCTCAGGGGTGATGTTTTTTACTGCTACATCAAGGGCTGTGTCTGTATTGAAAATAAAATATTTCTTTAAAGCAGATCACAAAATGGACCTTTAAGAGAGCAGCAAGAGCTGAGATCAAAGTGTGTAGATATCAAACCTGGTTTGACCACGGAGCACTTTGCAGGGGATGTTCATGGTCTGTTCTGAGGCACAGCACGTGCAGAGTTTTACAGATTTCTCCCTGGCCTAAACTGGTATCATCCTGCCCTCTATTCCTCCCCCTAGTCTGGTGAGCTGAGTTCCTGTGCTCCTGCCTGCTGCACAGGGCTGGATGCAGGGAAGGGCGTGGAGGTAAGGCAGGTATCTTGGGTAGCCCCTCAAGTTTTCTTCCTCCTCTTGAGTTCTCTGGATTTAGAAACCAGGCCTGAAGTTCAAAGGTGCTCGGCAGTGTGGCCGGGCTGCTCAGGGAAGGATCGTGGAAACATGCTCAAATGCACCAACTGCATGCTCATGGTCAGCTCTCAGTGGCTTGGGGATGAATAAAGTATGAAAGCAAAGCTCCAAGCCTTCCAGGGACCCAGCCCCTTCCTGGATGGAGCAGGGACCTGGTAGGCGTAGCCCACACTCTCCCAACCCACTCCTAAGGCCAGCACCAAACAGTCACACACATAAAAGTGTGGAGATGGCATGCTGGCCACGGCCAACTGGAGTTTGGGAATGATGGGGACATGCCAGTAAAATGAACATGGGGGCACAGAATGGAAAAAGTCATCCTGAACCAATAAAGCAACTGGATGGTGACTCTCCCCCAAACTCAATTAAGAACACAGAGGGGCGAGACTGCAAGCTATCAAGCTACGCCAAATAAAACGTGGTGGGGATGGGGGGGGGGTTTCTGTGAAGCCTGGTGCTGGGAGATCCTGCCAGCAAATTAAAAAATGTCTCATGCAGGGGGCCTGCAGGTCCCTGGGGGCAGGGTGGGGTAGAAAGAGGAGTGTGCAGGAAGAAATAACCAAAAGTCAGAGGTCGGGGGGGGGGGGGGGGGGGGGGGGGTTCTGTGAAGCCTGGTGCTGGGAGATCCTGCCAGCAAATTAAAAAATGTCTCATGCAGGGGGCCTGCAGGTCCCTGGGGGCAGGGTGGGGTAGAAAGAGGAGTGTGCAGGAAGAAATAACCAAAAGTCAGAGGTTCAGCAGCTGTTCTACAATAGGTACTACAAAATGCCTCCTTCTATTATATTCCATCAGATGGGCTTGGCTGGGCCCTTTTGGTATGGCACTCTCTTTTGCTTCTAAGGGCTGAGGCTCTAGACTTCTCAAGGGCCCGAGGGTCATTTACAACTTTCCTTTTCTGTGTGAGTGTGCGCCCTCCTCTCTTACCAGCTGTCACACCTAGGGGGTGGTCTGCATACCTCAGGCCATCTTCTGGGAAGGCAGAGGCAGGGGCAGAGGGAAGATGGACTAACCATCCATGACCAAGTTCAACTTTGTTCAGATCTCACACCTCACAGAAAGGTCAATGGTTAAAGGTGAACACTCTGGCAGAGGAGGAGGAACAGAGAGAAATCCTCCCTTTTGTTAACCATTTACCTATGTTAATGCTTCCAGAGGAGGGCTCTTGCTCTGGGGTCCAACAGCCCTCCCCACCCCTGCCTTTTGTACAAGTCTGTACATTTTCCACAGTAATTCTTGCTTGCACGTTGGGGCAACAGCTGGAAGGGGGACTCTGAAGTGTCACCTACAAGGTCACATTGGCACTTCCTCCTTGTTGATAAGAATTGATGTACCTTGGTTAGAGAGTTGAAAGTAGATTTAGGCAACTAAGAAATGTGCAGAAGGAGAGGAAGAGGGTACGGTCAGGAGAGTAGGAGAGTCGCGGCAGGGGGCGGGGAGGAGAGAGACAGAGAGAACAATCTACCTAGAATAAGATTAGAGACCAGGCCAGAAAGTAACAAGTGTGTCTTTTAACACAATAATTTTTCCCATTGCTTTGCTGGCTTTCATTTACCTGTCAGAGGCCACAAAAACCCATCCAGTCACTCAACAAACATTAACTGAGGTTCAGCTTGGCTCTCGTCCCAGTACTGAATGCTGGGCAGGGAGAAGGCTGGTGGTTAGAAGTAACAAAGATGAGGGCCGGCCCGGTGGCGCACTGGATAGTGCGCCGCTTGGGAAGTGTGGCGGCGCTCCCNCGCCAAATAAAACGTGGTGGGGATGGGGGGGGGGTTTCTGTGAAGCCTGGTGCTGGGAGATCCTGCCAGCAAATTAAAAAATGTCTCATGCAGGGGGCCTGCAGGTCCCTGGGGGCAGGGTGGGGTAGAAAGAGGAGTGTGCAGGAAGAAATAACCAAAAGTCAGAGGTTCAGCAGCTGTTCTACAATAGGTACTACAAAATGCCTCCTTCTATTATATTCCATCAGATGGGCTTGGCTGGGCCCTTTTGGTATGGCACTCTCTTTTGCTTCTAAGGGCTGAGGCTCTAGACTTCTCAAGGGCCCGAGGGTCATTTACAACTTTCCTTTTCTGTGTGAGTGTGCGCCCTCCTCTCTTACCAGCTGTCACACCTAGGGGGTGGTCTGCATACCTCAGGCCATCTTCTGGGAAGGCAGAGGCAGGGGCAGAGGGAAGATGGACTAACCATCCATGACCAAGTTCAACTTTGTTCAGATCTCACACCTCACAGAAAGGTCAATGGTTAAAGGTGAACACTCTGGCAGAGGAGGAGGAACAGAGAGAAATCCTCCCTTTTGTTAACCATTTACCTATGTTAATGCTTCCAGAGGAGGGCTCTTGCTCTGGGGTCCAACAGCCCTCCCCACCCCTGCCTTTTGTACAAGTCTGTACATTTTCCACAGTAATTCTTGCTTGCACGTTGGGGCAACAGCTGGAAGGGGGACTCTGAAGTGTCACCTACAAGGTCACATTGGCACTTCCTCCTTGTTGATAAGAATCGATGTACCTTGGTTAGAGAGTTGAAAGTAGATTTAGGCAACTAAGAAATGTGCAGAAGGAGAGGAAGAGGGTACGGTCAGGAGAGTAGGAGAGTCGCGGCAGGGGGCGGGGAGGAGAGAGACAGAGAGAACAATCTACCTAGAATAAGATTAGAGACCAGGCCAGAAAGTAACAAGTGTGTCTTTTAACACAATAATTTTTCCCATTGCTTTGCTGGCTTTCATTTACCTGTCAGAGGCCACAAAAGCCCATCCAGTCACTCAACAAACATTAACTGAGGTTCAGCTTGGCTCTCATCCCAGTACTGAATGCTGGGCAGGGAGAAGGCTGGTGGTTAAAAAAAAGAAGTAACAAAGATGAATCAGACTTGGTCCAAGGAACCGAAATCGGGTCAAGACACACTCATGGCAGTATGGGTGAGGGAGAGGCTGAAGGGATCACCAGAGCTGGCCTTTCCCCCAGTGGCATATAGAAGGGAATTAGCTATTACTAGATAATGGAAAAGGCAACATATACTACTTGCCCAGGGCCAAGTGTCCAGTGAGCAGGTGATGCAGAAATTGAGAGAGCGCGTGCAATTTGGCTGCATGGTCAAGGAAAGCATCACAGGGGAAGTGAGAGCGGAGCTTGGTCTAAAAAGATGACTGGGCCGAGGGAAAGGGCAGTGGTCACTTCTGGACTGACCGACATGCCAGCAGAGCCAGGGTTTGGAACGGGGCACGTTCTGGGGGTGGTGGGATGGGATGCTTGCAGGAAGGTGGTGGTGGCAAGATATGAAGAAGAGGCTGTTGTGGGGGGAAGTGGGAGATCAGGCTGGAGAGGCAGGTGGGGAAGGCCTGTAAGGGACTTGAACAATCACGGCAAGGAGCCTGGGCACTTTCTGAGCAGGGAAGTGAGACACCAGTCAGGCCCTGAAAGTGACAGTCCCCTTCCTCTCCTGGGGATCCCCTCTTATTTTAAATAAAGGGTGGGAATAACCGACATACTCATCTGACTAGGTGAGGTTGGTAGGATCTTAAGAACTGGAAACTCTTCCCAGATATCTTATTTTAATCCCACATTTTTTAGTTATAATCTCAGTTCAAGTCTCTCATTTCCTCCTTTGTAAACTGGATGGAGGAATGTCTACCTGGAAGTGTTGTGACAATTAGAGGACATGTATGTGGTGAGCAGAGTCTGAAGCATAGAAGTCCCTCGGGAGGGGGTGGCCTCTGTTATTGTTGACAGGAGTAAGTGAGACGATACAAATGAAATCACAGGTACTTAGTACAGTGGCCACCATAGCACAGGTATAGCAGGTAAACTTTTGCAACATTTGCTGTTTCCCTTTCTCAGCGTGTTAGAGAGAAAGAAATTGAACCCAGCGAGGGAAAGTCACTCACCCAGGGTCACAGCTTGTCCATTTCCTTTTTTTTTTTTTTTTTAAAAGCATTTATGTTCCAGCGCAATCCCCCATTTCTTGATGAGAATTTCCAAATCCCGCCAAAAAGGAAAAACAAACATTTTTCCCAGTGGCAGAAGCTGGGAGCTGGGAACTGGTAAGACTGTCAGGACTGTCAGATTTGTTTCTGGCCTTTCCTACCAGTGGAAAATAGCTAGGAATAGGCAGTCTGACACTGAACTGAGACACAAATAGCAACACCAACAATGCCACCCTGCTGCAGCTGCCGCTATACCCCCGTCTCACCGGCAGTGGCTGCTCCTGCACACCCTGCACAGGGATGCTTGTGACCTGCGGTGGGACTGGGCTCTGTATCAGGGTGGCTCTGTGCCTTGGCTTACTCTCATCTCCTGCCTTCAGCAATTAGGGCATCTGTTACTGGGGAGTTTGTTGTTTTGTCTTCCCATCCTGGAACGACCATGCCTTGTGGGCAGGTGAACAACCCTGACCTCTGCTCAGTCTAGCTCAGTGAGGTGGGCCCCACTGGGAAGCTGGGGATAGGAGCCAGAGAGGAACACAGCCCAGCACTGTCGCCTCGTTTAGGGCTTTCATCTCTTTGACGGTAGGAAGCATGTCTTACTTATTCTTCCCCGGACTGCTGTGGAAGACACTAGCACATGCCTACAGAGAGCCTGCCTGCCACAAGCACAGAGAGTGTGCTGGGTCATTGAGG